TTTATTTATACAAACGGGATAAAAAAGACAAGATAAAAGAGACAGAAGAGAAAGATAGAGGGGAGGATGGGGGCATAAAAAAATGCATTGGAAGCCGGTATTCGAACAGGCGATTTCAAGTACCAATGTAGGCAACCAACCGCCTCAGCTATAATTTACCATACGGAGGAAAAACGCCTTGAGATCATTTGAGTGCTTTAAAATTTCTTCTGACAAAATATCGATTATTTCGTGAAAAACACGCGATTTTTTAGTTTTAATTTAAAAACACTTTTATTAGTAATTCAAACTAGTGCACCTAAAATTTCAAAGAAAAATCTTCACAGTTTATTTAAAAAATAACACGAAATTATCAGGGTGAATTCGTTAACGTTCAAATGCTCATAAGGTGTTTTTCTTTAACACAGCAGTCATGATCGCATTGATCGCTGATGGCTCCTACGGCTTTGCTGGACAAGAACAACAAACAGGGGCGGGGTCTCATAGCGTCGCTCCTTTGACGTAAGGGCGTAACTCTATTTTCACGTGAGCCCTGAAAAGCATGGGATTATATGAAGAACAGGGCTCACGTAGAAATTAAGATACGCCCTTACGTCAGAGGAGCGACGATAGCGAGCGCTCGGACCCGTTTCATTTTCTTTTTCCTCCCCTCCATTTTCTAAGACAGGAATTTCTGTTTGAAAAGTAAGAGTATTTTTTTGAACGGAGAGATTTTTTCCAAATTTGTAGTTTCATGCCAACGTTTTCTAAATAGGAGGTAATCACTGCAAAGATGTGCCAATGTGAGCGGTGAGGTTCTCCATTACCTAAATATATCGCCTTAAAAAGAGTTCTTTCCTGAAATTTTCAGACATTTTTGCTCTTAAGACAGCCGTATTTCATGAGCATTGTCCACCCTTGGACTTTACTCTCTTTCAAGAAAATAGTTTAACCGAACCAAAATCAGACAAACTAGGTACTTTTGTAGAATAATATTTGAATAAAGCAGTAGATGACAAAGTATGAATCAAATCACCTAGTTAAGTTAATCGCATTGGTTCAAGGCATCGCTTTTGTTGTTTGTTTTTATGAAAGAAACTTTGAGGAGGGTCATTTTCGAATTCGCGGGAAATCGGTTAACAGGGTTGGCTTATTTGCATCAAATTATGCTTTTGCCGAAAATTAATATTTGGAGTAGAAAACATAATTTTACGACGGTTGAGAAATTAGATTTTCTAGCCATTCTCTTTAAGAAACAAGCCTTATGGCCTTGCAAAAATATGTGACTATCACATTCAGATGCTGTCATTAAGGGGAGAGGCGGGAGTACCGACTTTTGACACGTGAAATATAAGTAGAGCAATGGAAATACCACTTTTCAATACACAAGATCGATGTCCTGCTTGTACTCTTATTGGAAACGGAATCATTTACGTAATCAACTTATTTTTTCCTCGATTGCATTCTGGTTTTTTCAGAGGATTTTTAACCGCATTCTCTTTTCTTTGCACGAACTGCTGGTGTATTTCTCTCTGCATAACGCACGTAAACCTGTGTGTGCGGGTTTTTATTCCATTTAATTTTTTTTTCATTTAATTTCTTTTTTCATTTAATTTTTGTTTCATTTAATTCTCTTTTCATTTAATTTTTTTCTTCTCATTTAATTTTTTTTTCTCCTTCATTTTGTCATTTTAAGTCCTCTCTTGCACTACAAGTGCCTTTGCGTTTCCCGCAAGACATAGATGGAAAAAAAAATGATCTTTCCGCTTTGCTGGAAAGACTGTCCGTACCTATTTCTGTGGGATATTTCAATATTTTCAAAAGACTTTCTTTAATATTTCCACCCAAGGGTCTTGCCTCACTCGACCCGTGCTCTGAACTGATCGTAGGTTGATGTGTATTTCTGACTGAGCTTCCCTTGAAATCTTCCACAAAAACGACTATATCAGGATACGCGCTCAAAATGTTTTTTCCAAAAGAGTACCAAGGTCAGGAAATGCACATTTTGGAAGGGCAGTGTTGTTATATTTCAAAAATAGCAGCATTTTTCAGAGAATGTGCAACGTTATGATAAAAATCAGAATTAGATTATTTCATCGGCGCAATGAATGATCCTGGAATTAAAGTGACGTGTGAGAGAAACAAGCAAAGGAAGGAAACATGGAAAAGATACAACTATTCGAGCTCCACGGATGTGCGCGTTGCATAAGCACGGAAGTCAAGGCGTTTTGACTCACCAGGCACCCACCACTTGACACTTCGCCCGCAACGCTCATAGAGGTCTTTAATTCTCTGATTATACTACAAAAACATTCATTACGCACGAATTGTTGCGCACATCTGTAGAATGTGAATAGCTTTTGAGTTCCAATTTTGATATAGCTGCAAATCGTGCTCAGCACGATTTGTAGAGCAACTACTCGTGCCTAAGCATAGTATACATGAAGAATTGAGGGCGCCCCGTCATTTTGGAATCTCACAGTTTAGGTGCCTCCAAGCGTTTAAATGACATTCGTTTAGTTTTTGTCGCTTAATTTATTGAGGTGTCTCTGACACCTCAATTTATTTTCAGTATCGCATATTGTGTCGATGAAGTAAACTAATTGATCCGGTCCTGGAAATTGCAACAAATGTAGGCATCTTAATCAGATTCGTAGAGATTTCTTTGATCTACTTTAATAAGTCACCCTGTACTTGGATTTTTTCCTCCTTTTGGAAAAATACTTTCAACGTTTAAGAGCAAAATTTTCAAAGAAAAATTATCAAAGCCACCCTAAAGTCCCTGACATAAAATCCTAGTCTAGGTGTTAGCAAGAACCTGTTTATGTTCCCTCTTAAGTTTTTGAGGGATTTGCGCTTCTGGAGTGGGAGGGGGGGGGGTAGCGCAAATGGAAGCTCTCTTGCGCCAATGGGCTTTGCAGTTTTTTTGTTGCTTTTGGGGTTTACTTTAATAGGTAACGTACATCTCATGACAACAATCAAGTGTATACAAGAAAAAGTAAGCTTTAGAGCTCATTGTTTCCTCCATGATATTCCTGGACAATAGTTTAGGCAAAATAACTAAAGTTTCTATTTTTTTTAAAAGGAAAAAAAAAAAACAATTAACCCAGCTCTTTCTCCTGTGCTATATATTTTGAATTATTAGCGCTCGGGAAATTTTGTTGTAAAAAATTTGCTCTGGGAAAAATGTAAGTAGAGCCCTTCTTCTACTTTTGCTAAGGCTACAAAGTGTTTTTTGTATTTTTAAAATAATTTTTGATGGAATAGAATATCAACACAGCCGTTTGCAACGACAACAAAAGTAACCCAGGAGTCCTACTATCAAAACTTATTTTGCATGTAGAATGCCTTTAGGTAGAATCGCACAAAAATTTCGTTTGGAACATCGAACACCTCAAACACCCACTCCTTATAAACGCATAAAACGCATAATTTGAGCAGTCAGCTTTGCGCTTTTTCAAATTTTTCGAGTCCGCAGGTAGCGTTTGGCAGGCTTTGGCAATTCGGTTTGCCCAGAGAGAGACGGAAAAATACCTATTCAAAATAAACGAACACTCTCAAAAAATACTTTTCACAAATGATTCCAATTAATTTGAAGCATCTTCTGTTGCCAAAAAAGGGGTAAGGAACAAGCAAACGTTAACACCGAAAAAAAAGTCAAGTTGAATTTAACATTCTGGATGTAAGAAAAGTGTGCGAGAACTTATAGAATGCTAAATTACCTGTCGCAGCAGTTAGTTTTACATCTTGGCTTTGCTAAAGTTATTGCTGTGGCGGGTATTTCAGCATAAAGTAAGTTCTCGCACACTTTTTTTACATCCAGAATGTTAAATCAACTTCACTTTTTTTTTCCGGTGATTTCAAACGATTGAAATCATAAACGAGAAACATTCCGTGAAAGTGCTTTCTTACTTAGTTTAGGTTTTTTTTCCGGTTAGGTCTCTTCTCCGGGTAAAACTGATAACCTCAGACCAGAAACCAAGAAAAACTGCCCTCGGACGAGATTTTGGAAAAATACAATGCGGACTGCGCAAGTTATGCGGCAAAGGATTTTAGAAATTTCTGATTTGCTTAACTTCATTTTCGTGCGATCTTACCTGCATTAAAATGTACTGTTTTAACCGGATCTCTCGTGTGTAATAGATCCATTCTCTAATAACCCACTGAATTCAGAACCGGAATTCGTTTTTTCTCAAAATCCTTCACCGCACCTAATTCAACCATCCAAATGAAAGTAAGTAATTCACATGCATTCTGAAATGTGGACCCTGGACTGGGCTGGAAAACAAAAACTTCTTGTGTAACATCACGCACATTACACGTGTATCAGGACTATGTCGGTGCAACTGTGCTCCGACTAAAAATCCATCATCGGCTTGCAAAAAAGTTCTGGATGTTTTTCTCGCTACATATCTTGCATCAGCCAGTTCAGCGCCGGACGCAAAAACGGTTTATCTGCATTTGCATTCACTTGAACCGCAATGATCAATTATTACTTGGTTATTTTAAGCTCAAGTGGAAACATAGAGGACGTCTTTTGCATAATAGCGTACTCCACTTATTTGCTGAATCGCTTTCCGCACGTCGAGAATTTTCGGCTTTTCTTTTTCCCTCTACGAAAAATACTTTGTCAACGCATCGCCCCTCATCAATGATACCTCTTTCTCTTTTCCCTTCTCTCGATCTTCTTAATTTTCCTTTTTGCTTATGAATTTAACGAAAATAAACCCCTTCACTGCTCGTTTGCTTGTGCGGTGTGAAGAGGAAAAGGACAAAGGAAAATCACCGTTAAAACAATATATTGACGCTCCTTCACGTGGATTCTCGTTTAATTTAACTTAAAAAAAATTACTTTTCCCTCTCCGTTTTCACTTTACCCCTCACTTGTTTTTACTGCTTTTTTAACGCGACTATGAACACACCCTTTGAATTATTTTGGTTGACTATTACATTTTCCTAATCCTTCCCCTCCTTTTGAATTTAATCTGATGCAATCGATTAAACAGTTCTACCACCTATATAAATACGGATAAGGTCAAATTCGATCGAATTAGTCTAATCATTCTTTTAGTGTTAATAAGATTGTGTTCGTAGGAGTTTAAGCTATCACCTCTAGTACTGATTATTTTTCTTCTCTTATTTAGTTCGTTATCTCACAAAAATGAAACTTTTGGTAAGTTATCTTCTTCATTAAAATACACATAGAAACTTTTTTATTTATTTTTAACCCTCCGAATAGACTGTTAAAGTTTCTTTTTCTCGTGAAATTTTCGTCTAAATTTTCAAAATTTGTTCGATTTTTTATTACTGTAGTCCATTTCTGCTCCCTGTTGGTGGGTTGCTATAAAATATCTAAAACCTCTCCATTCTGATTTGTTTCAGATAAATTTCATCACTTATAAAATATAGCGAAAGGTCCAAAGTGAGAAAAACTATCTTTTAGAAAAATAAAAAAGTCATGGAACTAAAATTAATTAAAGCAATGAGATCAAGATTCTGGAAATAATATTTTATTCTGGGGAAGTTTTGTGGCATGAAAAAATTCTGGTTACACCATTGTAAAGTTCTACAATACGTGCTTCCCATCCTCTCCCCTTAGATTTGAAACGGTTTAAAATGGAGGATTAAAATTTTGGCAATACCCTTATATTAAAAAAAAACTGAATTTTGTGAGAATTAATTATTTTGAGCCCTCTCAAGGGGACCCGGTAGCCTCCAACTTTTCTTCAAATAGTAGTCCCCTTCTTTGTGTTAAATCATTAACGGAGGTATAAAACAATCACATTTTTAACGAAAAATTCAAGTCTCTGGCCATCACCACTTCCAAATTCCAGCCAGTCAAAGTTCTTTGATTTCCATTTTCAGAGAGGCGCCATTTTGAATTGGTGATCATGATAATGATCCCTAGTCTCTGGTAATTAGTTTCTTTGTTACCACCGTCTAACGATGTGCCATCTCACCGAGGTTTTTCGAAAATTGTGTTTCCCTTCAAAAGTGCCCCGATTGAATTTAATTTTTGACACCCCTATAGTCCCATAAAGTAGTTTTTCCTATCTTTCCTATCTAGTTTCCCCATCAGGAAGGAACATTGAAAAATGTTCCTCTTTCTTCCTTTATCCGTTTGAAAATTAAGAGGATTGGTGGGGCATTTCCGTTCAACCTATATATCACGGCATGCATTACCGAGACTATTAGTAGATGATATCCTGTAAATTTTAATTGTTTTATGTTATTATTATTATTATGATAAAAACATCATTGCAAGATATTTGAGTGACTTTTTTTTTCATTTTTAAGTTGAAAGAAGAAGAAGCCTCTTAAAAAAAATGCGCGTTGTCTGTTACAGGTTCCTTTAGTTTTACTATTCTCTTCGTCCGTAATGGCTGCTGAAGAAGCCAGCCGGACGAAGAAAAACATTCTTCCACTCGCTGCACCCATGCTCCTGAGCCCCACACCAGTGATGACTCGCTCAATGATGATGATGCCTGCCATGCCTGCAATGACCTCAATGCCTGCCATGCCAACCATGTTGTTACCTTCGATGACACCTCTCAGCTCGGTGATGCCTTACACAACAACGTACAGCTACCTTCCTTCAGTTACCACAATGATGTCATCATCAATCGCAATGCCTGCCCCCGCCATCATGAAATCAATGCCCATGACCTGGATGTCGGGAAAAATTATGATGGATAAGTCTATGATGATGGACAAATCTATGTCTGGAATGCCAATGATGTCCATGGAGAAGGGTATGCCCATGATGATGAGTAAGTCCATGCCACAGATGTCAATGGAGAAGGGTATGCCAACGATGATGGACAAGTCTATGTCCGAAATGCCCATGGAGAAAGACATGTCTATGATGATGGGCAAGTCTATGTCACAAATGTCGATGGAGAAGGGTATGCCAATGATGATGGACAAGTCTATGTCCGAAATGCCCATGGAGAAAGACATGTCTATGATGATGGGCAAGTCTATGCCACAGATGTCTATGGAGAAGGGTATGCCAATGATGATGGAGAAATCTATGTCCGAAATGCCCATGATGGGCAAGTCTATGCCACAGATGTCAATGCAGCAGGATGTGCTTAAGCTGATGGACAAATCTATGTCACAGATGCCCATGGAGAAGGACATGTCAATGATGATGGGCAAGTCTATGCAAGATATGTCGATGGAGAAGGATATGTCAATGATGATGGATGGCAACAAAAACATGGAGGGTATGTCTCTCGAAAAAATGATGATGGAAAAGCAAGCGTCCACCATGCCGATGGGAAGAATGATGATGGAGAAATCTATGCCTGCACTCGCTGGGAGCAATATGGGAATGATGGGAATGGGAAGTTCTGGTCCGATGTCGATGGAATCGAGTCAGGGCAGAAGGCACGCAGATCTGAAAAACATGAATACCCCACGATAAGACCATGGTGATTATTCTCTTCCTCAACTAGTGGATATTTCACAAGAGGTAATTGAATAACTACTGTATTTATCATTCTTCATTATTCTACATAAAAATATTATTTTTTTTATACTAGCCTTTCATACCCTTCACAGAATAGTTTTGCCTTTGAGATTACTAAAAACCGAAAACCAAAAAATCCAAAAACTTGCATAAAAACCGAAAATGAAGATCCGAAAAAAGGAACGTCAATAAAATTACTAATGTACATGTGAGCTTGAATAATTGCACAAATAATTTCCTAGAATGAGTCATAAAACCATAAAACATCTCACTAATAAAATCTTCATCGTGAAATGACATGAAATTATACAAACATTACTTGTATCAATGCATTTACTGCTAACCTGCATTGCTTAATTCAGCCATGCTCTCCTGATCATCAGTAATTTAAATTAAATCGGTTTGTATTTACGGGCGGAAGTCCAAGGACTCACGAGCCCTGGTTTCCATTGATCACACAGGAAGCTACGGCTCATGAGTTTTTGAGCTTACGCCCGTCTAACAGAAACCGATTCAACTGCAGTTTAATGCTTCTAACACATGGTAAATGTCATCAAACACGTACCTCGCGTTGCGATTTTGTAGTATTCTTTTCGAAATTTCTTTTAATGTATATCTTGAAAAAATGGGATTGGTGATCAAAAGCACTGTACCTATCTATGTAATATTTCGTAAGAAACATGGTAGTATGCCTGACCTTACCTGAAATCAACATCAAAGCTCAGAAGTTATGGCAACTCTGTAAATACATTTTATCCGAAAGCTGCAACCAGAATTCGAGTTTTGTATCAATATATTACGATTTTCACAAAATTCAAAGAAATATCGATATAAATTTTTGTTAATAATTTGTTTTGCATTCATTCTTTGCAAGGAATCCTTCTTAATTACACTGAAAAAAAAAAACACATTGGACTTAGAGTCCAGACGCTTAAAAACATCGACAAGAAAAAATACCTACTCTTGATTAAATCGGATATCTGCTTAAATCAAGAACCAAGCCTCTTAATTCGAGCGGATTTCCTTTTGATTTAAGCAAAAATCTGATTGAATCAAGAGTATTTTTTCTTGTCAATGTTTTCAAGAGTCTGGACTCTAGATCCGATGTGGTTTTTTTCCAGTGTAAGGTATTTTAATTTTAGCGGTTTGCCAATTTTTTCTTTTTTTCTTTTTTGAAAATTCAAATCTCACAATCATTACTGTTAAGTGTTTTATTGACAAGCAATTTTTAATTCTTTCTCAACAGAATAAATGAGCGAAAGTCACGCAAAGAAAAATGCAAGACCACGCAACAATGAAATTAAGCCCATATCTACTTTTGAGAATTGCAATCAAGGAAAAAAGCTCTAAACCTCTTCCTCGCTGATCACCACAAGCTCCAGATGGTGTTGAACGTTGAAATATAATTCGCAGAGGATCCATTTCTCGGTATCGTAGCGCTGTCAATATCAGTTGAAATGACTGCCTGGAAGGCTGTGAAATATTTTGAGCATAAAAAGGGCAAGAGGGAAACTTCAAATTCTGTGATCTATAATTTTAAGTTAGGTTTTATTTCAATTGACAATCCCGGGATTTAAAAATGCTTGTTTAAGTATTCCACTAATCTTATACTTTGAATTCAGCAACTTTGTAAGTGCAAATTTGATAGAAATTCTTTCGCGGTTGAAAATTTCTGACGTTATTAAAACTATTAAAATTATGTTTTATTAAAACATTGTTTCTTATTTTCTGACCTCTATCTCACGCAATTTTTGCCCTCTTTGATCCTGTTTAGATTCAGAGTCAACTGAAACTAGAATCTTGTAAAGAACTACTATTTTCCATCAGTGCGTTTCACTACTCAACTTTTAATATTAATAATGTTTTGTTCCTTTGAAAGTTCATTCGGCTTAGTTTTGACTAACTTTCAATAATTGGACGGCATTTTACAATTCAAAACACAAATTTTAGGCTCATTTCCGAAACAGCATATGTGCCATAAGTTTACCTACGCAGATGCGTGCTTTTATTGATGAGCTTGAAATTGTAGTTCCTGATGGTAAAATGTAGTCCAATTAACCTAATGCATTGTCACTCAAGAGGAATTAACATCCCGCTTTCTGAAGATATACAAAATGGTTCAGTTCAATACAAAATGAGGATGGTAATTTTGGCATGTACCTATGCTTATTTAAAATCTCAAAAAATGATGTGTCTATTTCGAAAAAGAAGAAATATTTTTATTTGTTGGAATTTTATTTGTATTGATTTGGGAAAAGGAAAAAAAATCATAAAAATTATTGATTTAAGGAATGCCAATCGATTAAATAAATAGCGTAGTAACACTAACTGTCAATCAGTTTTCTACACGGTTGTTAGTTTTGCACTGGGCATTTTAGCAATATTGTTGAGATTTTTAGAACTTAAATCGCAAGTCTAAAAATGGTCAATATTTATGCAACTTCGTTTAAGTATTTGCGCCATTAAAGTCAACCAAGGAGAGTGTATTATTACTACTTTCAAACCTCCTGGCAAACTTTTGTCTTCAAATTATTAAAGATGAAGTACACTTGTTTTCTTACTTATCCATCGGTAAACATGTAAAAAATTGTAAAAATTGTTGAAAACTTTGAAAAAACTCGTATAACCAAGATGGAAGAAATACGAGCATATCTGCATAGTGTGGGACTGATTGTGAGTTTAAGGTAAAAGCAAGTTGTTCTAGAGGACTCCCAAGGAATACATTTTTAATCCTTTTAAATGTTCGACTTATCATGCAACTTGGCAACCAAGTATCAAGGGCGCGGTTAGAAACAGCACGTTTATCCCTCCTTTCTTATTCGAGAAAAATAACGTTTGCGACAAGGGCCATGCGGGGAGGGAATAATAATGGCAACAGTAAACGAGAAGCGTTGCAGAAAGAAAACACACAATGAGGTGTAAAGTAATCGAGGGACAAATGATTTATTTTATTTGAAGGGAAATTTCAACAATGTGCATTTTCATTTTATTTTCTTGAAGTAGAATTATAATGAAACAACAAGTCAAGAGTTGCTTGTACAAAATTTGAGTGGCATGGAGGTCGACGGTGGATATTTTTCTTCTACCTACTGAGAAAGACATTTAATTTGATCGACATAAATGAATAAATCCTATGAATAAATAAATACATGAATAAACAATGGAATGAAAATGAATTGTACAATGAGTTTGTCACCGACTGCAGTTTTGTCTTTTTGACAAGAGAACCGTTTTATGAACCAGAAATTTAGCTTAGCGTTCTCTCTGTCCCCCTCAGAAAGATTTCCTCCCAGGGTGCAACACACTTTAATCTTGTGGGAAAAAAAATTAACTCTCAAGGTAATTCGTCCATCGTAAAGTATACCGAAATCATTTTACTGTTCGACTTGACGCTAGTAGACTATGGTTTTTCGTGTGCAGATAGTGTGAATTGACTTGCACGAAAAACGTTATTTTTTCAATTCTGATTTGAATACAGAAAGTTCTGATGCGTTTACTGGGTTTTAAGAAAAAATGCTGATAGAGCAGAAGGTTCTGTGGTCATGCACCATCTATTTTTTTCTGTGATAACCATTAAAGATCTCTTCATTTCTTAAAAGCTCATTGATACTGTATAAAAAATAACGACAACGTTTCGTTTTTGTAAAATTTACAAAATTTCACAAACAACACCTGTTTATGTAGGTGCCATCGTATTTAATACTTTTAAACTCATCGCATCGCGGTGATGAGCTCTAAAAATAAACAATGAGTATTCCCGCACTATTTCTGTTTTTTCCTGCTTTCCCAGTCCCTCCTGCCTCCGGCGAGAGATCGAGAGTTCGCGAGGACACTTTGTCGTATCTCTAACATAAAGACGTATCCCTATTTCTACGTGAGCTCTAGAAAGAGTAGATTTATATGTAAGGCAGGGCTCAGGAGGCAATTGAGATATGCTCTTACGTCAGAGGGACGATGACTTGTTCTGATTCCCGAGTGCATCGGTCAAACCGGTTGTTCGGTGACCTTCAAGATGAGATGGTCATTGCTCAGGATGAAGAGCCTCAGTTTGCAGTGGTTTTCATGTGAATCGATCGATGTTAAAACCTAGTATGGCCGTGTCTATTGAGCCCTGAAATACATAAGATTGCTTTTATGCTTTCGCATGTGCTGTTTTAGCATCCACCGATTCATGTATGGAAGAAGAACGACTCGTCCTTCTCCCCGCCAACCCCGACCCACATTTCGCACCGGCTTTCCAGTATTGTGCCTCGCTGAAGAAAAACGCCGTATGAAAATCCAGATCTTGCCGGATTTCATCTGATAAAACAATATTATTCTAGAGAACCTATGAATTTTTGTATTATAATTTTTGAAGGACTTTACTCCAAATGTATTGTACTGTCTCTGAATATTTCAAGGAAACTGTTCACGAATTTCCTTTAAAAAATGAATATTTTATCGGTGGAAATTTGGCGTCATTCAAATGCTCAAAAGGCGTTTTTCCTGAGGATGGCAGTATTGTGCAACGGCGTCTGATTTTACAATTTATTTATTTCTTTTACACTTTTTCCTCGACCAGACTTTTCTTTCATATTTAGGAGTTGGTGATTTGTGGACTCAGATACCCCCTACTCTAATTGAGTGAGAAAAATATGATTAATTCTTGCATTAACCGTCTGGCGAATGAATCGTTTAATTCTTATTTGTGGATCCGGTAAGGATTAGCTCATCAAGTAGCAGATAGTCCAATTAGTTCGATCGAGAAAGCCTATTTGCTCCACTGTGTTGCTAAACTGTTCAAATTTCGTGTTTTTTTCCTGAGCGGAAGACTTGCTAATATGTATTTTAAAAGGTACGAACCAAAATATCAAATTAAATATTTAAAAATTAAATACATTTTCCAAAAAATAAACATCTCTCATCGAAATTGTGTACCGTTATGATGTTGATAGATCTTCTATAAAACAAGTTACGATATTTTTCTGTCGTGTGTATTCATGGAGACAAAATCCGACTTTTAA